AACTCTTCCAGAAGCATGCTTTCAGTTAAAGGTCATCACATCACTCTATAGCAGACACTTTTTCCTGGCAGTGGTCCTCACACTAATTCACAGGGTAAGTCTTCTGCAACCATGTTTCTATTTTAAAACCTGTCCCCCTAGTCAGAACAGAATGAGTCCTAAGCTGGGTCAAGAAGACTCTTTCTACTGGAAATCTGAAGCTGGGAAGAAGACATGGAGAGGTAGCTTCTGATATAGCCGGAACTGTGTCATGCAAACTTAGTGCAACATGCAAACTCAGGAACTGTAGGGAAGCCATTTTCCTCCACAAACGAGAACAGGGAGAGGGGAGCGGGGAAAGGAAGGAAGGTGAGGGGATGTTAGAAGACAGGAGAGGAGAGAGAGAGAATATGAAGAAGATGAGGCAAACACACACAATAGCTGAGACCAGATAGACACGGGACTTTTTGCCAACTTCCCAGTACATGGCTTCAGTTCTTCATGAAGTATCCCTATTTCCTTAAAAACACTCTTTTTTTTTGCTTTTTCCCATCTCGCAAGATGGCGGGTGAAAAGGCTGAGAAGCCAGATACTAAGGAGAAAAAACCTGAAGCCAAGAAGGCTGATGCTGGTGGCAAGGTTAAAAAGGTGAAGCACTTCTTTTCGGATCCGCCATCTGCGGTGGCACCAGCCGCCAATATGCAGATTTTCGTGAAGACCCTGACGGGGAAGACCATCAATCTCGAGGTCGAACCCTCGGATACGATAGAAAACGTAAAGGCCAAGATCCAGGACGAGGAAGGAATTCCTCCTGCCCAGCAAAGACCGAGTTTTGCTGGCCAGCAACTGGAAGATGGACGTACTTTGTCTGAACACAACACTGAAAAGGAGTCCATCCTTCATCTTGCGTTGAGACTTCGTGGTGGCGCTAAGAAAAGGAAGAAGTCTTACACCACTCCCAAGAAGAACAAGCATAAGAGAAAGAAGGTTAAGCTGGCTGTCCTGAAATACTATAAGGTGGAGAATGGCAAAATCAGTCGCCTTCGTCGGGAGTGCCCTTCAGATGAACGTGGTGCTGGAGTTTTTATGGCCAGACACTTTGACAGACATTATTGTGGCAAATGTTGTCTGACCTATTGTTTCAACAAACCAGAAGACAAGTGATTGTATATTGGTTAATAAAAGACATGAACTGAAAAAAAAAAAAACAACAGGTGAAGCAGGTTAAGAAGGGGAAGCCCCACCGCAGCCGAAACCCTGTCCTGGTCAGAGGAACGAGCAGATATTCCCGATCGGCTATGTATTCCAGAAAGGCCTTGTACAAGAGGAAGTATTCAGCAGCTAAATCCAAGGTTGAAAAGAAAAAGAAGGTGAAGGTTCTTGCTACTGTCACAAAACCAGTTGGTGGTGACAAGAATGGCGGTACCCGGGTGGTTAAACTTCGCAAAATGCCTAGGTATCATCCTACTGAAGGCGTGCCTCGAAAGCTATTGAGTCACGGCAAAAAACCCTTCAGTAAGCATGTGAGAAAACTGCGCGCTAGCATCACTCCTGGGACCATTTTGCTTATCCTCACTGGGCGCCACAGAGGCAAGAGGGTCATTTTCCTGAAGCAGCTGAGCAGTGGCGTGCTACCTGTGACTGGGCCTCTGTCCCTCAATCGAGTTCCTCTGCGGAGAACACACCAGAAATTTGTCATTGCCGCTTCCACCAAAATTGATATCAGTGGTGTGAAAATCCCAGAACATCTCACTGATGCTTACTTCAAGAAGAAGAAACTGCGTAAGCCCAGGAAGGTGAGATCTTCGACACAGAGAGAGAGAAATACGAGATTACAGAGCAGCGGAAGGTTGATCAGAAAGCTGTGGACTCACAAATTCTGCGAAGAATCAAAGCCGTTCCTCAACTCCAGGGCTACCTCCGCTCTGTGTTCGCTCTTACAAATGGAATTTATCCTCACAAAGTCGTGTTCTAAACTTCTTACAAAGAACCTAATTAAATAATTTGGTCCATTAAAAAAACAAAAAACACTCTTTTTGCTTAAGCTGCTTCAAGTTGATTTCTGTCCCTTGCAATCAAAATCCTAATTAATGCTTATTCGAGCTCCTGCAAGACCCAGGAACTCTGACACTTTTGTACCTTCCCCAGGGCCCAACAGCAGACTCTGTGTTCAATCAATGCTTTGTTCTCCATTCTCTGCTTCAGTGTGCTTCAACCCTGCCCACTTATCTGGAGGCTTTATTCAATCATCTAACTGTATGGCCTGAATCCAGGCTCTCTTCCCTCTTGCTCACCTTACGCTCTACCATGAGATTAATCTTCCAAAACTTTGTTTTCCCTCAAGCATTACTTTCCAGCTCTAACATCTTCGGTGGCTCACTAGCTCCTAATTGTGTCTCATGGAACACCAAAGGAAATGGTCCATGATAAAAAGAGTTCTGGGGTCAAAGACTCTTAGGAAGTCCAATTGCCCCCTCTCTTGACCTTGCCACATAAATGAGCAATATTAAAGGCTTTGAGAAGTTCTGTTTATAAACCATCCTCCACCGCCCCTGGCCCTACACACACCAAAAAACAAAAACAACTCAGCTTGAATTTGACTTGACATTTCCTTTCTTGGTGTGACACCTCCAGGACAAGGGGAAACATCTACAGAATTAGGGTCAAACTTCTTTTTGGCCCTCTACCCATGTGCCCCATATATGACTTATCTGGTCTGACTGACCATCTCTCCCAAAGCTGCAGCCACGGGAACCTCCTTCTTGCTTCCTGTGCTTCCTGGCCTCTGTGTCCCCTCCACATGGAATATTCCTTGCCTACCCTGCCTCCAAGCTCCACCTGTTCCATGGAGTCTTCTCAAACCGCTCAATTCTACCTTGTGCTTATACTTTTCTCACCTCCTAAAGCCCTTGCGATTTGAACCACAGATTAGCATTTAGTCATTCACACATAATCTGTTTCTACCTAACTCTTTCACACCTATATGTTTGTCAACCCATGAAGAGTAAAAGTTTATGAAACACAGAAACCATATCTTTTCTTCTATAATATCCAGCTCAGGTCTAGCACAAAAAATATTTTTGAGAATGATGTATTGAATAAATTGGGCCAACTCCATGACTTAGAATGACAAATATTTTCTCTCCGTCTGCTCAAGAATGGCCTGGCCAGTAGACCTAAGGTTGCTCAAGGCCTAATGCCAGGCTTTCCCTGAAGAACACAAGGACAGCTGAATGCTTGTTACTTCTGTCAAGGCAGGGTTCTCTTGGGTATAGACCTTTGAAGGGATCCTTATCTGCTTGTAAGGGAAGAAGGTTACCTTGTTTACCTAACAAAGTTAGCTTGTTAGCTGAAAACAGGGGTGGTGCAGGCAACCTGCCACAGTTAAAATCTCATGCTTGGAAAAAGCCTAAATACTCTGCCACATAAAATTGGTTGATAAATCTATGATAGCATACCTATAGCACAAAATCATAAATAGCTTTAAGAAATCATATTGTAGAAGAGTATTTAATGACTTGGGAAAAATTAGGATACACGGTTAAGTGAGAAAAAATTTCTAAAAGAGCATATATACTATGTTTATAATTTGATTAAAAAAAGAATATGCGTGGAAACAACATTGGAAAGGTAAACAAACATGTTAACATTGATTATATCTGGGTTGTGGGATCACACGTGTTGCTTCTTTTTTTCAATCCTTTCTTGTACTTTTCTGTATTTTCCTGGTTTTCTACATTGAACATATGTTACTTTTGTAATCAGAAAAAAAATAATCAAAAACACAATTCTCTGTTTTCTCTCTTCTCCCAGCTCCTGCCTTCACACTGAATGCTTCAAGTTCAGAGGCCTACAGAATCCTCTCCATTTTGACTTTGTGCCTTAACCTCTTGTTGGTTGTGTTCAGCTTTCTTTTTTAATTAGGCTAACATAGGAATGTCTCAGAATCCACCGATAATCTGGGTACTGTCCAGTGTAGGCATCTGAGCTATGTATAAGGAGCAGATCAAAAGATGTCTTTCCTTCCCCAGACGTGTTCTGACTTCTCTCACTCTGTCTTTCCTCTCTTGCCTCCTAAGAAGAAAATGATGATGGATGTGGGTATTAAAATGACATCCTTTAAAGAGACGTGGAGGAAAGGCATAAGATTACACAATATCTCCCCATGAATATGTATAGCTTTACCTGACTACTGCCTAAGAAAGATTCTAGCTCAGCTGGTCTGCTACTGTGCTGATCAGAGTAAGAACCAGGAAGGACTAAGGCTTGGAAGGAGCCTGAGCCTCCAGGAATTGTTACATTGGAAATACAGAAAAGGAAAGGTCCAGGGAGGCAGGGAGAGAGGAAGGGCATCAAGAGCCTGTGTGTGTGTGTGTGTGTGTGTGTGTGTGTGTGTGTGTGTGTGTGT